CAACTGCCTACCTTCACAAGAAAACAAGCCTCTACACGCAAGTCCTCTGTGTAGCAGACCAATAAAATTCGGTCCATCAGGTCATAAGTCAAAACTTAATTAGCCAATTTTCTTCTTAGTTGTGCGAGAAACGCGGGGAGCAACGCAAAATTATTCGAAAAAAGTGTCTGCCACTGACGCTGTTTTCCGACAGCCATATTGTTTCTAGCACGTGACTTGTAATGGCGCGAAATGATGTGACATTCTACCATCCTAGGGGTACCCCTCTTAGGGCGCGACTACTGTAACCATGGATACCATTCTCTCTTGAGGTGCTGTAACCGGGGCCACTTTATCGACAAAGTTCACCAGTCAGACTACAGGACAATAACAACACATTGTATATACCCAACACCCAGGAGACAGATTTCTTTGACGCAAGCTGTTATTTGTCATCCAGCGGCAATTTCCTCGCTACTATTGCCGCGCTTTGCAATAATATGTTTTTCGCCTACGTCAGAGGAGGGGGAAGCTACTTCCTATACATTCTCTTAGTGAAATCAAAACGATTTTCTCATGGACTATAGAATGATGATGATGTTCTCACAATGCTCGCAGGCTACGTTGCCAGCAGAATTGAGTACTCATCATGCGTATCACGTCATAAACCAAAGCTCAACGGCCGGAGAAGCAACTAAATCATAGCTGATTATTTCGTTTCGTGGATTGACAACTAACTTTCTAGGATTGTATTGTTATTTTCTCGTAATCCGATAGGTCAACTTTGTCCAGGTGTCCCCGGTTACAGTGGTCACAATGTAATCTAATTTTGATGAAATTGCTAGTATAGCTACCATTATTAATTGTTTTTCCTTCATATATCATCTTTATTTTTGTTTTGGAAAATTAATGATTAAAAATATTATTTCGGACGTTGTCTAGAGTTTCCAAAAATTCCGTTTTTTGAAGCTAATTTACAAACCAACAAACTTTGTCATGCGTACCTTCAGCAGGGTTCTCTCGGCGTTGCATGTATTTAGGCGGCTAAATTCCTTCTCTTTTCTAATCTGTAAACGGAGAGAGATAAAAAGAAATAAATGTATTTTGTATTCTGAATACTGGTGTTATTACAAATGATTTACATTGCTAAAAAATCCACATAGCTTAGCGGGGGAAATCATTCATTCAGCTTAGCCAAAACTACTACTCAGATTCCGAGTGAAGTCGAGTACATTTAATTTTTTCCCTTCAATGTTCATAATGCCTGCTGTATTTGTTGGATTTGCGATGGTAGATAGGAAACGAGGTGCGTTGGCTGTAATCATCCGCTCTCCGACTTCATTTGTCATGAAAACAACCGATTTTCAGCTTGTTTTTTAATTTTGTGCAGAAGCGTACAGTTACCATATTTACTGAATGGCTCGTTCTAAGCCAATTAGAATTCATCGTCCAATGATTCAGTTTTTAAGTAATGATCCAGGTAAGAAGGGAAGCAATTTCTTTCGTTGTGGCGCAATACGCTTTCCTCACATAGAAATGTTTTCATTTTTACGCAGAGAATGCATAAATCTACAAAAAGGCTGTTTACGAAAGAAAATGTATTTAAACTCCACTTTTAAAGGGTGTATTTTCGTGTTAAAACATTTCGACCAATCACAAGAGTTGCAAACAATGGCCAAGAAATGTTCACAATTTTACTTGATCCGCACATACGATTTCTGTGTTACTTAGACTCAGACGAGATTTTGTTATAAGGAAGTTGGATAGAAAAAAAGGGATTAACATACATGCTGTTTGCGAAGATTTCGTAAAATTTGATGTTTAAACCAATCAGAACCTTAGTAGAGACAATAGTAAAGTTAGCACCTTTTTGCATTCCGACGTGTTCACTGCGTTTTGGTCCTTTCCTTCTTATCTGGACCATTACTTAAAACTTTTTAGTAAGTCCTGTTAGTACATCCTCAGCTTCACCGATATCGATCATTATCACTGGTTTTTCTTTTCGGTTTCATTATTTGATTCAGGAATCAGGATTTGATTTAACGAATCTCTGAGTTAGTTTTAAACTACTTACCTCTCCTCTCTCCCGACTATCCCGGGGGCCCCAACTGTCCACGGTTCGATGTCAGTGATCTCAACATGTAACTGATAACAAGAAAATAAAAAAACTTCTGTTAAGGAAACATGATTGAGTTAAATTTTCAGTTTTTTTCACGACAGGACAACGACAAAAGTAGTATGTAAATATTAATTTCTCACATTTTCAAACTCTCATGTTTCAATGTTTGCTCTTTTCCTTCAGCGAGCGCGGCGTCAGGAGGGGAAACTGCACTTTTGTTAAAAAGTAAACTCTGTACAGAGAAAAAATAATGAAAATAATCAATCAAAGAATGAAAATAAACCTGACAACAAGAGAGTATTTTGTTGGCGGGCTACTTGGACAAGCTAAAGACAGATCAAGCTGTGTTCCAGCTCGAATCACAAACTTAACTTTGAAAACATTTGAGCTGTGAAAAAATATAAAATTGGATAAAATTGGTTGATTCTACTTACCAATTGACTTACTAGTCATCAACCGTTAATAATGTCGCCACGTCGGTTGGTCAAGAAGCAAGGATAGACCTGAGGTTCCGAGCTCTCTTTGCGATCAGAGTCGATGCATGATACATTTTCAGTGAGTTAGTGAGACGGACGGGATCAGATCTTCAAAATTGTTCATAAAGTCATCCTGGCAGCTTGAATTTCCTTGGTTTTCATGAAACGCAAGCGATCAGCAATCTTTTAGTGGAAGAGTAACACCTGACAACGATGTCGTTAAAAATTTTCAAAAATAAAGTTGGCCGTATTTGCGCATGGGTGAATAAATTTTGAATCATTATTATATTTTCTCGCAAACACTCGTGAGAATCTATTATACGGAACAGTACCTACACAGAAACGCCTGTGAAATATCAATCTCATTAGCATTGCATAAGAGTTGGACCGCGTAAGTGAAACTATGACTGTATGAGGAATTAAACTAACAAACGAGTTCGCAAGGGAGTTAAACAAACCTGGCGATTTAGTTATTGAATTGAGACAAGTTTTTGGCTATGTTTTTCTTTTTTTGTTGTTGCTATTTAAAGGAAATCGTCTTTGTATTAGCCCAGAACCAGTTCCGATCAGAACTTTACGCTTTAACAAAATTCGTCTGAAGCTGATTCGTCCGTTAGCACGTCTTGAAGACGTGCTACCAAACGGATACTTCGTCTTAGAAGGATTATCCGTCTCTAAATTTATATCTAGACGGAACATAGACGGTTTCTTACGAAGTTTCCACATGAGAGGGGCTGGTTTCTATATTTTCGCAATGTTTCCTGGGATAAATAAATATGAAATATCTAGACAAATTATTCATCAAAATTTGTCTTCGGATTTATACTTAGACGAATTATCCGTCTGACGGATAATCCATCTAGACGGATAACTCGTCTCTAGCATAAATTCGGCCATTGAATGCTGCGTTTTGATGGGTTCGGTATATAAGGCCAGGCCATAAGACTGAATGTATCTATTTAAAAAAAAAAGAATAATAATGATGGCGTTTAAACCAATTATAAGTATATTCCATCTTTGGCTGTTCAGACGTCGTTCAACGATATTTATTGGTCAACGATCTTATCCAATACGTTGCATACAGTGGGAATGATCGTTTTATCGCCATTTTTCAGTGAGTCTTCTGTTAACCGACAGGTAGAGTCGAGTTCAAAATTTTTCTCAAGCGCGAAGCAAGCAAAAGCGAGCTCGCTCTGGTACCTACTACCGAAACGGGAAATGAGGAGCGAAGGACTTTGAGAAAGTCTACGGAGACGCCGAAAATACATTATTAAGTTTGCATACGTATATATTACTACTCTCCGGGGTAGTGTTCAGATTGATGGTGCAACGTGAGTCCAATTATAAGGAGAAGTCTCTTCGCGGAAGCTGGAAACTGAAAGTAGGCAAATAATGCCAGCTCTACGCGTTTTAGAGAAAAGATATCTTCTTGGAGTAAAAACCAGCCCTGTTTTTCATTTGCTACGATCAAACAGCTCTTGAGAAACTCCGATATGAGGTTGTTAATGGGGGAGGGAAAGTACGAAGAAAGCAAACCGTCCCAGCCTTCTCTCAACCATTGTCTTACGTTCTGATGTAAAACTCTTTTCTAGTAAAATATTTTGTCATTAAACGCCCTTCAAACTTCAAACGTTTTATGGGTCATTGAAAGGGTGATAAGCAAGTCCATTCAATTTTTCTTCCAAAGGTTTAATGATTATTTAAGCAACTGTTTTACTGTACACAATACATGGTTCGTAGGCAAATATACACGATAACGAGCCTTTTTATTCATTTCTGTTGACTGTTCGTCAACAAAGACATCAAAATTCTTCTTCAATATTTATTTGATCAGCTGACCTAAGCAAACGACCGATAATCTTTTATTATGCGCTTCAGATTCGTTTTTGAGTCACCTTTTAAATCTTTCTTCGACGAACAATTTAAAGAAGACCACTGTGTGGACTTCGGTAAGTTAACCAGTGTCGGGGCATTCTTCCCTTTTTTTTGGCAAAACTAGTTACATTTAGACGTATTCAATCATCTCGTGTAACTACACCAGTGTTATATCAAACACGGTACTAAAACTTTTAAACAGCGCTGGCTGGAGACGGATCCCCGTGTCCAATTTTCAGACAGGAGCCGGCTTTTGCCCGCGTTAAGATCGACAAAGTGTCTGGCGGGGATTGATGACTTCTTCCATGACACTCATGTGCCTTATTGAAGGGGTTATATTGATAAACCAGATCTAGATTTAAATTCTGAATCATGTTCTCAGGAAATTTAGTGGAATCTGTAGAAAGTTTATGTTACATTAAAACGATAGACAGCCGTTTCTCATTGTCAAGCAATAGAATTGTATGATATAAACCAGCATATTTACTGACATTTAGAATGCGTTCTTCTTCTGTTTTTTTTTTTTATTACTATTGTTTTTTGTAGGTAAAATGCGCACACTGTTGTTAACGTTAGTAGCTTTGTTACTGGTCACCGGTCTCAGATCCGAAGGAGAGGCTGAATGGAAGAAGAGACATGAATGGGCTAGACAATTCTGGGGCACTTTCAAGATAACGCCGTCAAAACCTGTAGGACCCGACGGTTGGAAAATGACCGTGACATTCCCTGAACCTGGAATCAGAAGGCTAGAGGTGTGGCAGGCGAAAATCGTGTCCGTGAACGACGATAAAACAGAGTTCGTGCTCGAAAATCAGCATTGGAATGCTGAATTAGAAGAGGAGAAAACGTTGAATTCCCCTTCACAGTAACCAAGAAGAACCGAAAGCGTTTGAAGGGCATGATGGTGTCTTTCGAGCGTCTCGGCGAGGAAAGTGGTAGTGGAATGTCTGTGGAATGAAGCCTGAATTAATTGTTACTGTACTATGCTTGGTTAAAAAAGTTGAAAGAATAAAAAATGAAATAGTTAAAAAACAATTGCAAGGAATTGAAGTTACTTGTATTTTTCAAAAAGTTTGATAAATATAAAGGACCTTCTCCACCGTATTCTACCGTAAACTTCCGGTTTCCCAATCTAAATATTAATGGTAATTAGTATAGCGTACCTTTTGGGGCTTTTCAAAACGGAGTTGAGACAATTCTTAAAACACAACCGCGTTCTAAGACGATTCTCAGATTACCCAACGCTAATTTCTAATTTCTGTTTATCGTGAACAGGTTCCGATGGTTTCTAAAACTGCGGCCCAAATAAGACTTAGTTTAGATTGTGGACCCATGCGTAGAATTTTTAAACAAGGATATCCGGCACAGTCTGCAAAGTAAGAGACCAGGGGTTACCATACTATACCTTTTTAGTTTCGCAAATTGCTTCTTTGACCTCATTTCATGTAACGGAATCAAGAAGTCTTAAATTCTGGATTCCACGCCGTGGATTCTGGATTCCAGTTACTCGGTTCCAGTCTTTGTTCGTGGAACTTGGATTACAGGATTCCAATCATTAGAGGGAATCCGGAATCCTCAAGCTGTGCTTCGGATTCAAAGGCCCTGGATTCCGGATTCCATAAGCAACATTTTCCCGGATGCCGGACTGCATAAGCAAAAATCTCCCGAATCTTGGAATCCGGATACCTTAACGGTGGGGCGATTAACTTAATTTCAGGTACTTTGGTTTAATTATGAACGAACAGAAAATCTGTCCCGTTTTGACAGAATCGGATTTGTGAATTGATACTCGTTAACTAAATACCGATAAAAACTATTCAAAAAAATTGTACTGACATAAATGATACCTGAACTTTGGAAGAATACCATTCATTCGGAGTGAAAGACTTTAATTTCGCAGTTGCTGAATAAACTCTGTCAATAGGCGAGCAGTCAGCTTACGTTAAATTTCATAAAATCATAACAAAAACATTTTCAATACCTGTCACTTGTTAAATGTTTTCTCTTTAATTTCCTATTTTGTTCACTATTTTCAGTAAGCCAACCCGGCGGAAAGCAACTCAGTTTACATTGTCTAAAACACAGTCTTTAACTATTCAACAAATCAACAAATAGAATACATAACTTCTGTTGATGTAAATGACAAACTGATTTGCAACTTGAAATAATGCTTTGCCGGCATATGCACCTCCTGATACTGGTCGTTACTAGATGTTATAGCGTTGAAAACCTTTTTTTGTCTCACAATTTTCAATATACTGTGAATTGTTGAACTTGAAAAAAGACAATAATATTTTATCAGCTGAGGCCCCTTTGTAAAGGACACAAGAAAACAATTTGAGCTTTTGCATTTCATTACAAAATTTAATAATATCTCTTGTGTCTACCTTGAATGGTGTGTTTGGCCAGTTCGCTTACATCGCACATAAGAATCAGAAAGCTTTGTTTGAGCAGCGTAATATGTTTTTAAACCAACAATGTTAAATTAAGATCATGAAAGCACAATACAAGACATCTCTTGTTGGCTTTCTCCACGTCTGAATATCAGCGATCGGCAGCTAGACAACAGCATAAAATCTCTTTAAACGATCCGAATTAACAAGAGGTGAGTTTTCCATGCAGTATTTTCCTTAGTTGCCACCCACATTAAAACACATGAACGTATCAAGCCATTTCGGCCGGCCAGTGTACGATGTATTCATTCAACCCACTAGATTGTTTGCCAGCTAAACGCAATCTTGCTTCGGTATAAGGTTTTGTCTCTTTTACTAGCTCAATTCTTCCTTTTTTCATTTCCTTATACAAAACGTTAAGCGGTAACAACTGAGGTAGCTACCTTTTTTATGCAAAGACACCAAACTCAAAATTTTTTATCAGTCAGTACGTTTTAATATGTTAAAAGTTAGATTAAGCTTTTATGGTAAGCATCGTCACAAGTTTTTGTTTTTTTACGAATGACCGTAAAATACGAAATGTTATCAATCGAAATAAAACTCGTCTTATGCCAGTTTTGAGTGATCTTAATTTGTTCGTTTTTGGGGACGTGTGAAAGTTTGTAAAGTGTGTTTTAAAATCATACAATAGAGAGTTCGTTAAGTTGTTTGCCCAATCGGTCGAGATAACGTAGCATCTAATGCCTATTAATATGATGTCACATATAATTGACAAAAAGTTTCTTTTTCCTCAATTCATCTTTCACCCAGACTAAAACTATTATTTTATTATTCTAGTAAAAACCGTATGTAAGTGACGACAAAAAAAAATTAACACAAACAAATTAAAAAAATCACGACCTCTGCTGAACCAAAAACTAACAACCTAGTAACAATGGTTTGACTCTAAGACTCATCTACTGAATTGAAGTCGTCGGAAAAGGAGAAATCTGAAAAAAATTTCGCGTATACTAATATTTCTCTTCAATAATCATGTCTTAATTTCATTTGTTAATCTGAGGCTATGTTGTGATACCATTTTAGGAGAGCATGAGGTGCACACTCGTTGTCCAAGCTTTCTCCATTCTACTTCTTTACTCCAGCGAGCATTCTCCGAAGAAGTCAAGGTGAAGATCTTTAATCAGTGGTCCCAAGGATTCTACGGACAGATATCGATTGATCTCGAAGACGAAGTCGAAGATGGTTGGCAAATCACCTTGAAGTTCTCGAAGCCAATTAAAGAATTGTTAGCTTGGAATGCTAACGTATAGATGCCACTTCAGCCGACGAGATGGTGTATATTCTCAAGAACGGGTTCTGGAACAAAAAGCTTAAGGCCAAACGTTTGAAGTTTCGATTCCTAGGGTACAAAGCAAAGTTTAATGAACGCACGCCAAAAATATCTGGCGAGTTCACTCGTCTCGGAGAGGAATCTGGAAGCGGTTTCTGAAAATGAAATTTAAAACGTAACTGATAATTGTCAAAACTGAGAGGAAAAAGCTAATTGATAGTGACAATTATACTATGAGGAGACAATAAATAAACTTATAGATGTTCAGTATGTTTTGCTTGTATTTTTGTCTATTGCAACTTTAATTTTTCTCGCTTATGTTTACTGTTCAACTACTTGAACCGGGACACTTGGAAGAAGATTAGCCAAACAAAATTTACAGTTTTTGAAAACAAAAGATTCTCATATTTTCTTGCAAACCGACCAATAACTTTCATGAATTTGAGGACTGCTTCCTGAGAGGTCAGGTAAGGTCGAACAGGTTGAAACCTTTCAACGGTTGCATAGTTGACCCCTGAATTTTATGGTCCGCTTGCAAAAAGACTTGAGGATCTTTCGTTTTCAAAAACTGTTGTCATTGGGTAATTAACCTCCCTTCAAGCTAGTGCCCCGGTTCGAGTAATCACACTCTAACCACACTAGGAACAAATTGATGGACACTTTGTCTCTCCATATAACTCACTTTTGAAACCTGAGGAGTAATTAATTGGATCAGTAATTGCTGAACGTTTCGGTACTCGTTGTGACAAAAAATTAAAATGATCCAAGTGAAAATAATGCGAAAAAGGCAGAAATTATAAACAACAAAAACAATCAAGGAGTAGCTTGTAATCTGATAGGCATGATAAGAGGCTGAATACCCTTTTTTCGCTGTAAACCAAGGCGGGATGTTTTTCGGCAGAGGGCGGGGGAAGGCCGGCTCAACTCGACTCAATATTTACTCAGCCAAGGCATCAACTAGTTACCCTTACCAAAATTTCCCGTTTCCTTTAAGCAAACCATACAGCTTAGCATTCGATTGGTTTGCCGTACAAAGAATGTGTCTTTTTTTTCCAGACACGAAGCCTCGTCAGCAACCTTCTTCCCAGGCTCTTCTCGCTCCGAGGGACGAGTAAGAGAGAACCCTGGTAACGAGGTTGTCGCTTTGGTGGGATACCGGAAAAATCCGGCAGTTGATTGGCTTATCGAGCACAGGTCGGAGGAGTTCGAGAAACAAGTCCTACATCATATCCTTTGGCCTGGAAAGCGAGATCCTGATGAGACGATTGGAGAAACGATGACTTGCTAAATCAAATTTTTACGCTGCGTTTGGATGCAATAGTGGAAAAGCTTTGACACAATGTTCTTCAGTTAAGCCAATTTCATAAAAACCTAAAATAACAAGATGAGAAACCCGGTTTGTACATGCTATCTCTGCTCCACAGGGGCCTCTTTTTGTCCCTGGGAGAACTGGGCGAGAGGAAGAAAACGTGCACAGTACTATTTCAAAAGTAGTTTTATTTTGTTGATATACCCAGCGAGTGGGAGCCTCTGTGTCTCTCATTGAGTCAAATAAAGCCACCACACCTTCCTTAAAAAGACGAAATTTCTCACACGTTCTTGATCGAATTGTCGGCAGCTTTCTGACCTTTTTATGTAATGATACTGATATTATATTACTTTCATGTACATTGAAGTATATTACTGGTAAATTATTTCTTTGTTCAATAACCGTTGCTTGTTATATTATTGTTGGGTTGTGAAATTCTCTAATTGCATGATCCGTGAGATAATTTAATCTACTGGTGGTAAAATAATTCATGAAAATTTTACAGAATTAATTCAGTTGGTTTCTCTCTAATTTCCCAGTCACTACTCAAGCAGACATACTGTTTCAAGCAGAAACGAGCTTTAGCGAGACCTAAACTGATTCCGATTTTTTTTTAAACGAACCTGTTTTAAGCGGACATCTCTATTATTCTGATATAATAGTGTCTTTTTAATTAGACGAAATTTGCTAATAAGAAAACGTTAATTGGTTCGCTTATATATTCAATAGCTTTGACGACTAAACTTGTTTTGTTTGCCAATACTCCATTTAACTGAATAAAACTTTTGTTAGCAAGTTTAAAGTAATCATGTTTTTCATAATTGTTTTTTTTTTTAAATGAAGGACACTAGGCAGACGACGGAAAAGAGATAACGTTGAACACGGCGGGAACTGAAGAGCGGACTGTGATCAAACTGAGTACGATCGACAAATGTGAGTAGAAGAAATTTTCGCTACCGACAAAGGGAAACGCTATGTTAAAATCTTGCAGAGTTTTTTGATCTTCAGTCTGCCAAAATCTTCAGTTATTATTTTGAATATCTCGGGAACGTTCTTTTATCCGCAAGGACACTGTATTTGTGACAATCAGCCAGTGTACTGGCTCCTTGGTTTCGAGTTTTTGCATCGGCCCGGGACTGAAAACATAAAGTTTTTGTAACATGAGAAAACTGTTGGTAATTCAGGCGGTGAGGGATAACCAGTTGACCTTGTCTAGTTCGGCCCTCCCTTAATTGATTCAAAAGGGAGGCAAAAGAGCCCATGATTTAGCTACTACTGCTCTAGAAGAGCAGGGGACTTAAATACGGTACCATGTGACCCATCTCTTATCTTCAAGCAATCTGTAATAGCAACTTGCATCTCAGTACTCCTGGATTCACCACACCAATATGGTTAAAGTGATTTAAGTCCAAAAACAAATCCGTAAAATGTTGACATATATGTTCTTTTTATCGATTGACCGAAATTCCCTAAACCTTACTAGTTGTCCATCAACCTATATAAGCTAATATAGGATTCTTGGGGTATCAACCTACATTTCAATTTTTACAAGAAATCATTTATAATTATCTCCATATGTAAGGGTTCTGTAAAGTAAATACTGGATTTACAGGTTCTGAGGTTTAGAAAATAATTATCATTTCTTTTGTTCTATAACCACGTCTAGAATTGAAGGGAGAATCAAATAACTCACTGACAATTGTAATTACAGTCAATCCGATTTACACGAAATATTAATTTATAATATTCATGAAGGATTACAATTGACAAAAAATACTGTCCTTCTTCCTGCACCCAACATACAGTAAAGGAAATGGAAGTCTTGAAAATGTTTTTCAGAATAGTATCACCGACGCAACTAACTTTCATCAAGTGCTGGCAAATAGTCAGCCTGAGAAAACAGCTTCTGATTGTTTGAAAATTTGATTTAACCAATCAGGAGTACAACCCAGGTCTGAGTACTTACGCGTCATCAGTATGGAATTTCTGCGGTCGTGAAAACCAGTGCTGGCGTTGCAAAATATCGCTGGCTGTTTTTTCAAGCAAGCAAATAGTTAAGTTTAACCCACAAGAAAACAGCGATGATTATCGGTGTTGATAAAAATGGAATGTTTCATGTGCCAAGATCTTGCTGTATTTCTTTCTTTACAGTAAAACCATGCGTACGTACCTGTCTATTTTGCTTATCATTTACTTACTTACTGTGGTTCACGACGTCATCTGTTTCGACGAAGGACGCTTCTCCATCATTCACCGGTATGACGATGGTTTTATCGGGAAGCTCTCCCTCATCCCGGGAACAGAAATTAAAAACGGCTGGAACATGGTCGTCACATTCTCAGAACCAATCAAAAAGCTAGAAGTGTGGCAAGCAAACACGGAGAAGCGAAACAAGGAAAAAACAGTGTTCGCTCTCAAGGGCGCTCACTGGCACAACCACATAAATGCCGGCCAAGAGTTTAGCTTTAATTTCAAGGTTACAACGAACAGAAGGGGAGGTTTTAGCCCTCAAATCGTCGAAGTCGCTGTGGGTCGTACAGAAAATGAAAGGGGCCTTCACTGTGTTGGCAAAATTTAATGAGTGGATCGAACAAGCTAAAAAAAAAAAATTAATGATGCGTTCGCGGGATTACATAAAAACGTCCATATGTTATATTTACTGGGGAAACCCATAATCTAGTCAGAGTGCATAGTAATACAGGGAGAAATACTAATTACTAAGCTATTGTGAATTTAACAGTAGTTCTTTACCATTCAAATGAAACGGAAGAATTGTAAATGGTTTCCTGTTCTTATCATGTTATTGACTTAATATGAAAAGAAATAATTACAATGATTTAGATGCTCAAAAAATTGGTTTTTCTTTCTTATAGAAGTAAAACGAGTTAAACAACGATTGTCGTTTTAATATTCTGTTGCTTCTTTTCCAGCCCAGCACTGTTTTTGGGACCTTGTCTACACTAATTCGTTTTTGGAAACCTTCTCGTTCGTCGCATAAAAAAGGATGGAGTCAGACACAAAATCTTATTTGCCAAGAGATGATATAATATTTCTACTTTTTGATGGCAATGCCATGAAAATTATGTAATACCTGAGTAAACTGTTGTTGAACTAAGACAACAGTTGTCTGCAAAGTCATTGCAAAATATCGATCGATTATTGGGTGGAGAAAAAACAAATGCACTGTGTGTTTTGTGAACGTTACAGTTGGATTGTGGTGGGTAGAAATCTCATTTGTGTACTGTTGCCCTGGGGGGGAGGGTGCTCCCTCATATGACCTATAAGGGGTTATGACGCTGAACAGAGTATGGTTTTTTACCTCTCTGTCCTAAACAGGGTATATACTGAATTTCGTGTGAGTCTGTCGTAGCCAGGTTATATGATTTCGCGTGAGTCTGTTGAAATGGTATATTCTGCAAGATCGATTTGATTTCATAGATGAATTGACTATAACGTGAATTTGCTCTGTTGCAATTGCCAACAAATGGCTTTAAAACAAGACGGCGTGCATTTTCTTCTTTGTCCTAAACACAGTAGTAAAATTGAGGGTGTTTTCTTAGACAGGGTATGCATTTTAGGATATTTTGGACCTAAACAGGGTCAGGGTTTCAAACCCTCAGCGGCTCAGCACCTATACACAAATATTAGTCAAGTACCCCCCGGGACTGTTACTCTCCCTATTTGTATACCGGAGGACCTCTAATCCCCAAAACGAAAATAAAAATACTTAATTAATCCGTCAATTTGTTTAGCGAGAAAGTACTAAATGAGGACACTATTTTTGTGTCTTCGTTTCCGCGTGCCATCCGAGGCACGCGAAAGTTCTTGTCGTTTGCATTCCGAGGCAGGACCTTCGTTTCACATTTCTAAAGAGACCTTGAACATTTTAGGCCCCAGACTGAGATCGAACCCATAATTCCCGCTCTGCAGTCGAACACATCTACCGACTGGCTCGGAGAAGAACACTGGCAACTTGAAAACCTGAGAGAATTTACTAGGAAGCTACTCACATTTGTTCATTCCTTTTAGGGACCCCTCGGACCCAGGGGAGAAAGAGGAGATGCGGGGGAGATACATTTACTTTGTCTCGACGTTTGCATCATTGAAGCGTTGAAACAAAGTCTAGTCTATGAATACGCCCCCGTGAATAGCAAAAAAATCAGCAGAATGTCAAACATTTTGCAAAGAAGCCGTGATGAACTGTTTGTGAAGCTGTTCGAATGGGAAATATTGAACGGGATTAAATATACATATGAACAAAACTGAGGAAGATTACCACCATTAACGCCATTAAAGAAACCAGGGACTAAGCGTGATATAGTTCTGCGGTTCTGTTTAAGATGAGTTCTGTTTAAATAAAATACGACTGAAAATTCCAAAAAAACTTGGGAGTTTTAACCTAGAGATTATTTATAAAGTTGCTTTCAGAGTTCAATTGGATACACCATCTGATATTCTTCCAAAAAAAGCAAAACATTTATATCAATGCATATTGATTTTGTTACGGAGCAAAGATGTGTTAGCTATGTGTTAAGTTAACTGCTTGCCATATATTATCTTACTCCTGCAAAATCACTTAAACCGGGCATTCATACCGCGAGGGCTTCATCGCATGGTCAACTAAACTAGGCGGGAAAAGTATGAAGGATTTTCAACATATAGACGATCTCCCAAAGCATAACAGACTGACAAATTTAGTTTTTTGTATTGGTTTGTTACAAAAAAGGATCACTAAAAATGGCATCCTAGAAAATATGCAAACCCATCTATTGTAAGGAGAGATTTCCCATGAATTCTTTATTTACCTCGAATTCCTTATCTAGCTTTTAAATATTCCCTTTCAAGTTGTTTTAGCCGTAATTTACATTGAATTTGCATTGAGTTGTTTTAGTTCCCTTAAATTATACAGATTTTACTTCAATGTTTACATGTAAAAGGATAATTTGTTTCTGAATAGATATACAGCTTAATCACTGAATGATTGGATCTTTCGCCTGTTCAAATACCAACCGTTCGTAGTTTTTAGTTTTGACATTTTGAGGGATCCTGAACAAAGGAAACTCGAATTCTTTTGCACAGCTTTTACTGCTGAATCTTAGTACGTTTCCTAAATTCACTTGCTTGACTGACATTTAATTTTGAGTTATTTAGTTTAACATATGAACTTTAAACTGAATTTATCCAGATTTGTTTTTGGTGTTCAGCTGATTTTTATTCAGCCTTCTTTCCTTTTGTTTTCTGATGTTGTGGGTTGATCGCTTAGTATAAATAGAGCACTGTTATTCCTGTTTTCGATTTACATTGCGGATTTATATGCTTGTACGATTTACATTGGGGAGTTATATGCTTGTACGATTTACATTGCGGAGTTATGTGCTTGTCTGATTTTACATTGCGGATTTATTTGACTGTTTGGGTTTGAGTCCTGTCCTGTTTCCAGTTGTAGGAGATCCTAGTACCTTGGAATAGTGACGAGTTCCTTTCCCGCTAGCCAAGCAAGTTGCAGAGTTAGTTTTCCCCTTGTTGTCCTTACGCCGAAGTCGCTCGAGTTCTCTTAACGTTTATTTTCCCGATTGTGCTTGGAAGGGCAAAACTCAGTTATCGTCACACTATTTACTTTTAGTAAATACCTTTCCAAAGACTTCAAAACACTGCATTGTGAAATTATAATAAGACCTAATAAGTATTTGCGTTAAGTTCAATAGCTATTGACTGAAAAAGGAAAGCTTAGAAAATTCAAGAAATTACATAAACGTGTTCCATGACAAATATTGAAGCACAATCCGTTTACACCAGTGGTCACTCGAGTTTCCTTGTTTGGATTGTTTAATATTGTCGGTTTTCTTTCGGCTGAAGTCAAAGACCGGCGTATCAATACTAACTATAATTTAACAACATTTTTTTTTCGGTTTGAGAGAGCAAACTATAATCATGAAAATGTTTTGGTAGGAGAGAAAAGAAAGTGTGCACCAAATGCATTTTCTCCGATTTTTGAGAGAGGACTGGGGCGAGTTTCAAAATAGAATGTTTTTGAAAGGGGGAAGGAAGTATTAAAACATCCGTTTTTACAGAATTTACATCAAGATATCACATTTAGGACACAATGTGATAAAGAAAGTGTTTAAATGAAAATCAAAGTGAGTAACCACAAGTTAAACATCCACTATCGAGGTTCTCCGAGAGGACTAGAAGTCGAACTGAGCAACACGCGTACTGCTTACGTTATGCACATTCCAAACACATTGAGTCTCACCTCAGCAAGAAACAACAGCAAGCAAAAATTCCAATAGCGTTTCTCTTCAGTCAACTTCATTTAAATAATGTTACTTCACATGCTCTTTTTTACGGCGGCCATCTTGTTATGCGCAGTAAGAGATGCGCAGTGCAAAACCAGGGAAATCACAGAACCCTGGGAACGAGGTTGGGAATCACCTTAAAACCTTTTAGGCACGGCATACATTTACTTTGTCTCGACGTTTGCATCATTGAAGCGTTGAAACAAAGTCTAGTCTATGAATACGCCCCCGTGAATAGCAAAAAAATCAGCAGAATGTCAAACATTTTGCAAAGAAGCCGTGATGAACTGTTTGTGGAGCTGTTCGAATGGGAAATATTGAACGGGATTAAATATACATATGAACAAAACTGAGAAAGATTACCACCATTAACGCCATTAAAGAAACCAGGGACTAAGCGTGACATAGCTCTGCGGTTCTGAGGTGAGTTCTGTTTAAATAAAATACGACTGAAAATTCCAAAAAAACTTGGGAGTTTTAACCTAGAGATTATTTATAAAGTTGCTTTCAGAGTTCAATTGGATACACCATCTGATATTCTTCCAAAAAAAGCAAAACATTTATATCAATGCATATTGATTTTGTTACGGAACAAAGATGTGTTAGCTATGCTCAGTAAACTGCTTGCCATATATTATCTTACTCCTGCAAAATCACTTAAACCGGGCATTCATACCGCGAGGGCTTCATCGCATGGTCAACTAAACTAGGCGGGAAAAGTATGAAGGATTTTCAACATATAGACGATCTCCCAAAGCATAACAGACTGACAAATTTAGTTTTTTGTATTGGTTTGTTACAAAAAAGGATCACTAAAAATGGCATCCTAGAAAATATGCAAACCCATCTATTGTAAGGAGAGATTTCCCATGAATTCTTTATTTACCTCGAATTCCTTATCTAGCTTTTAAATATTCCCTTTCAAGTTGTTTTAGCCGTAATTTACATTGAATTTGCATTGAGTTCAGTTTTAGTTCCTTTAAATTATACAGATTTTACTTCAATGTTTACATGTAAAAGGATAATTTGTTTCTGAATAGATATACAGCTTAATCACTGAATGATTGGATCTTTCGCCTGTTCAAATACCAACCGTTCGTAGTTTTTAGTTTTGACATTTTGAGGGATCCTGAGCAAAGGAAACTCGAATTCTTTTGCACAGCTTTTACTGCTGAATCTTAGTACGTTTCCTAAATTCACTTGCTTGACTGACATTTAATTTTGAGTTATTTAGTTTAACATGTGAACTTTAAAACTGAATTTATCCAGATTTGTTTTTGCAATTCAGCTGATTTTATTCAGCCTTCTTTCCTTTTGTTTTGTGATGTTGTAATAGGTTGATCGCTTAGTCGCTCGAGTTCTCTTAACGCTTATTTTCCCGATTGTGCTTGGAAGGGCAAAATTTATCGTCACACTATTTACTTTTGGTAAATACCTTTCCAAAGACTTCAAAACACTGCATTGTGAAATTATAATAAGACCTAATAAGTATTTGCGTTTAGTTTAATAACTATTGACTGAAAAAGGAAAGCTTAGAAAATTCAAGAAATTACATAAACGTGTTCCATGACAAATATTGAAGCACAATCCGTTTACACAAGTGGTCACTCGAGTTTTCTTGTTTGGATTGTTTAATATTGTCGGTTTTCTTTCGGCTGAAGTCAAAGACCGGCGTATCAATACTTACTATTATTTAACTTTTTTTTTTTTCGGTTTGAGAGAGCAAACTATAATCATGAAAATGTTTTGGTAGGAGAGAAAAGAGATGTATCATTCATGGATGTCGCTGAATGCGTTTTTTTGTCCGGTTTTAAATAGAAATTCGAAGAGTGATTGTTACGAATCCTTTGTTATTTTTTTGCCAGCCATAAAGCAGATCATAAGGCAAATAAATACCTATACATACTACCTTGTCGTGACATTTTTGCAGGGAGAGGTTTCCTGTGCGGGATATATATCAGAGCGTTTAAGATGCCACGACGGCCACAGCAACGAGAACGTCAAAATATAGCGATATTTTGAATAGGAAAAACATTGTACCTGTCGTAGAGTTTTTTATACGTTTCTTTGTCAGCCGGTCACTGCGAGACCACAACGTGAAAATGCCAAATTTCGAGTTTTGTAGAGGACGTAAATAAGCAACGACGAAGGTTTCTTCCTTTTTCTGAACTTGGATAGGGTTCTTAGGAATTCAACTTCAGAAGAGTTCACCTCCATTTGACAAAGTAAGCGAGTTCAGTTGGAAAAATCGTGATGGAACGGGGACACCCAACGACAATTTTCGGAAAATATCCAGAATATCTGTTCGGAAGACGATTTGAGATCTAGAATTTTTGGAACATTTGTTGTAAAATTTTTTGGTTGCCTTCCTCTCCTAGGATTTTCGAACATCTAAAAACCACTATAATTGCCCATTTTTCACGGATTTTTACCCTTAAAAGGTCACCTAGAATTTTCGGGAGCCTTTTTTCTGGCTGAAATTTTCGAAAAGGTAAGTTTTGATCCCTATAATTTTCGGATCACTAGACTTTCACCGAGGAAATCCGAACAGATGAAAAATTTTTAGGGGATAAAAATATGCCTATATCTACCTTTTAAATACTAAAATACGTTTAACAATGCTATGTTTAAGTGGTTTTGAACTATATTCTCGTTGGGTGCCCCTGATGGAGATTGAAAGACCGCGAAATCACTTTTCAAGTGACGCTTACGCCGAGGTCGCCGTTGTGCTCCTTGAACTCTCTTTTATCTACTTTTTCGACAGGCGAAATATCGTTTGGTCCCGACAATAGGTAAGATCATAACTCATGTCTTCGTGCGTTTTTCAACGAGGTTTATCGTTGGCCCGAGCCATAAACACGAGTCCGAGTCAAAAACGGGCCCTTAGCCCTGCAAGCAAAAGCCAACCTCTCGAGTTAAGTCTAAATCTTGGCAAAAAGCAATCAACGGTTTGTAGAAATAACACTGAGTAATTTTAAGAAATCGACAATAGACATATCTAAATTTACATTTGGCCACCTTCAGACGTTGAGCTTAGCTTAAGTTCCGGCACATGTGATGTTCGACGTTTGAATCGAGTCTCTGTTACATTTCTTTTCAGAATATATGTTCACAATGTCTTGGATGCTGCTGTTTTCAATCTTTCTTTTCCATTGTTTTCCCGGAATCCCTGGGGAGAAGACTCAAACTAAGGTTGTCGAAAACTGGAACGTACGCTTCAAGGGAAAAATCACTCTCAACCTCACAGATGACGTCACTGACGGGTGGACCATGATTCTCTCATTCCCAATGCCTACTCCGAATCTGAAAATCTGGCGCGCGGAGATCGTTACCAATCAGGACGACAAAGTCTATACTATGAGAAATATGATCTGGAACGCACAGATGTGGAAAGGTGACCTTTTTGAGCTTTATTTCATTGCGCAGAAATCTCAAGTGGACAGTGATCCTCCAACTGGTTCAGTGGTCTTCAAGCGTGGAGCACCGCCGACGGTCGAGCCTCCAACGGTTGGTCCCAGCTCACCTCAACCACAAACAAACGGCCCCAGTTCCTCTCGCCCAATCTCAAATCGCGTCAGTTCTACTCAAGCAACAACAACTACTAAACTGCCACTGCCCACACCATCCAGCAGACCGATCACTGTATCACCTCAAAATCTTAACAATTATAACTATGGCGAGGTGCTAAAGTTATCAATTCTATTTTACGAGGCCCAGCGCTCGGGAAAACTTCCGAAGAATAATCGGGTGAAATGGAGAAAAGACTCAGCAAAGAACGATAGGGGGGAGAATGGGGAGGATTTAACTGGTGGATGGTATGACGCAGGTGATTACGTCAAGTTCGGCTTTCCAATGGCTTCCTCCGTCACCGTGCTGGCCTGGGGCTTAGTACAATATAAAAAGGCGTACCAAGCCGCTGGCCAGTATAGTGAAGCGTTAAACAGCATCAAGTGGGCGACCGATTACTTCATTAAAGCGCACACGAAAAAAGAAGAGTTTTATGGCCAGGTAGGCTGCTGATAATTTCAGTCTATTTAGATCCAAGGAAGCCAACTGTCAAGTCTTTACCATTAATTTTTTTTTAGTCACGGAATCTAAATTCAAAACTGCTTTTGGCGTCCCAGAAACCGCACAATCTGGTTGGCACTGTTTTTTATTGTTTTTCTGTTAGTCAGCAATATAGACTAATATATGTCTTTTAATTCTCAGGTAGGAGACGGGCATGTTGACCACGGATACTGGGGTAGACCGGAGGATATGACGATGGCGAGACCCGCTTTTAAGATCACCCCGCAGAAACCTGGATCAGACTTGGCCGCTGAAACGGCGGCAGCGCTGGCTGCTTCCTCTATCGCGTTTAAAGCGGGAAATACTCCGTGAGCAATTACTTGTATAATAAATTAGAATACAATACATTGTAATAAAAGTTGTGAATGGTTTGAGGCTGGGGGTAATTTCCCTAGAGGTAGCTCACTGAAGAGGCCTCCTTCCAGAAATGAATAAAAACCCCTCTGCAATTCTAAAGAAAACGAGACGCTTTTCGATGACAAAAACATGATTTCGTTACTCTTTTTATACACGAGCTTTTTCTAAAGGGTATCCTTTTTAATAAACTTCCTACGTGCACAAACTAGCACACAGCTGACTAGCCTGAGTGACAGGCGTTCGAAAGTGATGGGGAAAGGAATATTTGGGCGCGCGAAGCCCTTTGTCTTCGCCCCTCGAACGCTTGCCACGCAGGCTAAGAGAGGACCTCTTCAGAGCCTGCCCTGAATCAAACCCGGGGAATAATCCCCTAAAAAAGTGATGGGGGTGCTCTTCGTACCTTTTAGGGGTTTAAATTTGTGGAATGGTACCGTTTAGGGTGCTAATACCTAAAATGACTGCTGCCAGAGTTGTCTCGGTATCTTTTAGGGGCCTGCGGTAAGGTTATGATCTGAAAAATGTATTTGTGCGAGTTATATAATTTATTGTTGTTGACTTGGTACCTCTTATTAGTGGAAATGAATTAGGGACACGCCCATAAAAGAAGATTCTGGTCCCTTTTAGGGGTGTTTTCGAAATTTTCCAACGAGCACCCCCGTCACCTGTATTGGGGAATACCCCCCTCATCAAAGTTAACCATTGTATATTTTTGCTTGTTACATTGGTTTTAAAAGGTATGCCAAAAGGCTCTTAAGACACGCCAAAGAATTGTATGCGTTTGCAGACAAGTATCGTGGAGTGTACAGTGATTCCATTCCAAATGCAAAGAGTTTCTATCGCTCACACAGTGGTTACAAGGACGAGCTGGTCTGGGGAGCAGCATGGCTTTACAGAGCGACAAACGACCGATCTTATCTCGCAAAAGCCGAGAAATACTACAACGAGTTTGGAATGAATGGACAGGTGGGTTAACAAGAAGAGTTGCAGCTATAAAAGTTGCGTTAGTAAAAAATGGATCACGTCCAGCGCTTAGGGGCTCTCTCTCGGGGCCGTGACATGGTAGTACGTTACAATTACTTCCGAGACTCTATAAAGAAAGTTTACCTTTTTACGATTGGTTCAAGAGGTGATTATGGTATCTGAGTGAATACAACGAAATACAGTGTCGCTTGGTAACACCCTATACATCTGTTTGTCAGACATAGCTCTAATTGCACTCTGCCCCTCCCCCCCCCCACCCCCCCCCGCCAAAAAAAAAATGTTGCATAAACTATTATGCTTTTTGGAGGACTACATATTTCCAAAAGCATTTGAAAAATAATAACTTATGCAAAACGGGGGGGGGGGGGAATAGTGTATCATGGGGGGTGGGGATGGCAAACATAGTGTATCATGGGAGGTTAAAAAAATAGTCGATAGACCTTTTTAGCTTGTAGGTTTTATTTTCCCAATTCAGACCAAGTGATTATCTCAAGGAAATTTTGTCTTTTGTCTTTTAATTAGTAATGCACGCATTGCATGTGGATAGTTCCGTATTTAAAAGAAGCAGTTCTCTGAAAGTAACATCAAATTGTCTGCTATGGGAAAACAACACATTCAGACTTGAAAGGTCTAATCAAGCAATTTAGTCACCAAAATCCCATATAAATTCGTTTTTATGTTGCGCGCTCTTGCAACAAGCTGTGGTTGTAAACCTTAGAGCCTGATATCATACAGGCACCTTTTAAATGAAGTACCTTTTTACTTAGTTTTTCTTTTTCATTATTCACAGGCCTGGGCGTTTTCCTGGGATGATAAAAAAGCTGGAGCACAACTGCTGTTAGCTCAATTAACAAAAAAGAAATCATATGAGACAGCCGTTCAGTCTTCACTTGATAGCTGGCTTCCTGGACGAAGCGTCTTATACACGCCCAAAGGCCTTGCGTGGCGTGCGAAGTGGGGAGCTAACCGCTACGCGGCTAATACAGCATTCTTGGCGTTGGTTGCCGCCGACTACGGCTTAAAGCCCAATATCTACCGCGCTTTTGCTAAGAAGCAGATTGGCTACATGCTTGGGGACAGCGGGCGCAGTTTTGTCGTGGGATTTGGCCACAATCCACCTCAACGACCACATCACAGATCAAGCTCGTGTCCGTCAGCCCCTGCAATATGCAACTGGAATAATTTTCGGGATCCCCGTCCCAATGCGCATGTTCTGAAAGGCGCACTTGTTGGAGGTCCAGATCAAAAAGACAACTACAAGGATGTCCGGACAGACTACGTCATGAACGAGGTGGCGACTGACTACAACGCTGGCTTCCAGTCTGCCGTTGCAGGGCTCAAGCAAATTCAGCTGGGTTAGTCCAGTGCCTGGATAAATGCTACAGTAGCGTCATGAAGTTTTTTTGAGCAAGAAATTAAACTAGGATGGAACTGAAGCTGTATTTTGTGCAAGAAACTTAGTTTGTATTGGTCAACTAATAGAAGTAATAAAGTAATTGGTTCAAGTACAACTCTGTCGAGTTTGAGCATACTTATTTGCGTACCAAACACGATAAAATTACATATAAAAAAGATATAATAGATAAAACGGACTATAGTTTAGAAAGATTGAAATTCCCAAAGACCACGATAAAGATTATCAAAAGGAACGTAGCTGAACACTTGCGGTCATAGTCTTAAGTCACCTATGGGTTAAAAATACGGTTTTCGTTCATTTCAATTTTGATATTTTAATGAAATGAAATTTTTAGTCAACTTTTTATTTTAACTCTAAGCTATCTGAAAGCAATTATCACCAACCGATTAAATCCAACAACGGATAAAAATAAATTAAAAGATATTCTTCTTATTTGTTTTTTTCTATTTCAATTCGCAAATAAGACAATGATAGTTGCGTAAAAGTTACAAAAAGTAATTTCTTGGTCGGCAATAAAGTTAGAAATTGAATCAGCTGTTGGGTTTGAGAACACTGTGGCAGGTTAAGAGCCGCTATTTTGGTGAGCTCGCTTCACTTGTCCCTTGGCTTTCCAGACGCACATAATCCGAAATCTCACCAAAGTTTGGGGCAGGATTTTTGAGGTTAGTGATAAGCTACAATCCTGGGCAAACGTCCTTGGGACAAAGATGCAGTTTTTGTTTTGTCGTGTAACTTCTGGCTGCCCTTATAAAACAGTGCAACCTTTGAAAAGTATCTTGCAGTTCTCTCTCCGCCCACCCTTTACAAAGTTGAAACTCGGGAAAATTCTGGATACACACGTCCAACCTTGTTTGTGGGGTAGGGGTAGGGGTTAGGCACGTGTGATTTAAAGAGAGCCCATGCTTGGTTCGATCAATTCAGTACTGTAATTGTGACAAGCGATTTTCTGTAAGTAACATTTTATTTGAACGCTTAAGTTTTTCAATAAAAAGAGGAAAAGGTTTTCTAATTGACTGCTCTAGTAACGAGCCAGAAGTTTTTAGCTGCCTGCTATCAGGCTTCATTTGGAATTCCGAGAAGTAGTTTTTAATGAGGTAAAATCGGAGTTTGATGAAGATAACAACTAAGGATTTCAAAAGCTCCTTATTTTCCATAGTAACGCAGTGGTCGTATCTGAACAAGGTTTTCGAATACGGAAATGCTTTGACTTTTGTTCAGCCCGAAAAAAAGTAGTCGTAATATTGAGGTAGATGCATGAATAACGGGTTAACAATGCAGTCTTCGAATGGCGAAGTTCCATTGCTACTAAACGTATGAAATTTCGGTATTGACACAACTGAGAGTGTGGTTGGATTGCTGTGTATAAATACCGAATTAACAAGTCTGTAACCCATATTGCTTCAATTACTGTAAGTTTAAGGATTTAGAAAAATAAAAATATTTTTGTGTGATAGATTAAGACTAAAGAAGGTTTTTTTATATGATGAACCGAGTGAAAAGCAACAAATTTTGGGGAAAACGTTTTTCTTTCCCGGTGTCTTCCGATTTCATGGCGGAATTTGAGAAACGTTTCTCAGGATTCAATCTGAAATTAACGATGACCGCTAAATATTGCTTCATTTCTGTATTATCTTTACGTTTGTGTCCGGTCTGTATATACTCATGAATTAAAAAAGCTTGGCAATGAAAAATGATTCAATTATAAACCGAAAAGGATAGAAGAAACCGAATTCTTTCCTTTCAAATTTTGCAGAGTATCATGGGACACGTGTCATTTTTTTCTGCCTCTCTTCTGTGGTTTTTTATCTATGCGCACCACGGCTGCGCAGAACAAAGCGGCGTGACTGTGGTCAACGAGTGGAATACGGGATTCACCGCCAGATTCGGCTTCAGGCTCCAGTCCAAAGTCACCAATGGCTGGGTGATTATCCTGACATTCAATAAGCCGGCACTGAAGTTACAAACCTGGATCGGGGACATCAAGTCTAAATCTGCCGACAGCAAACGGTACGTGATCACGAACAAACCCTGGCAGAAGCAGCTTAACGCTGGTTACGAGCTATCCACTGAAATCGTACTTACTAAAGCAGCGCCGGACGCCCCAGCTTCAACAGGAGTGGCCGTGTTTCAAAGGCTAGGACCTGGCGGCGGGGGTAACACCGGAGGAGGAGGGAATACTGGAAATGGAGGTAATTCCGGGGGTGGAGAAAACACTGGTGGTCATGGTGGAAGCAGTGGTGGACGGCCGAAACCCTCTGTTCCCCCAGTCCCTGGTCCATACAACTACAACGAAGTTCTGCGCAAGTCAATTCTCTTCTACGAGGCACAGCGAGCCGGGAGACTTCCTGCCACAAACCGAATCCCTTGGAGAAAAAGCGCAACTCTTCGCGATGGCGCGAATGTTGGTGTTGATCTTAGCGGTGGTTGGTACGATGCAGGAGATTTTGTCAAGTTCGGGCTTCCCATGGCCTACAGTGTGACCGTGCTGACCTGGGGCCTAATAAAATATCAAGACGCTTATATAGCGGCGGGTGAATTGAAAAACATGCTCGACTGTATTAAGTGGCCTTTGAACTACTTCATGAAAGCGCATCCTAGCAAATACGAGTTTTACGCTCAGGTGAGGAGATACTTTGCCCATTAGCACAAAATATCATTCATATTTAGTAGTATCCAGGTGTCCGTTTCTCAAAAGGCCCGGTAACTTTAATTTTCGAGCCCGAAGACAAATTTTAACATCAAAACTTGTTGAATAGCGGTGCAGTTTCTAGTTCAATGCTGCTTCGTAAACTGATGATTCCATTGTTTCATTTTCAAAATTGTTGAAACTTTGGTCTTGAATTCAAACACGGAAAACATAAAACAGCTTTCCGGGACTTTCGAGAATTTGGCCCGTGGTAACTAAGCTACTAATTAAATGATCCAAAGACCAAAAAACTTGTCAGCCAGGGGCTGGGGGAAGAAGAGAGAGCGAAAAGGGGAGACAGTGAGGGGAGAGAAACTTTTCTCTCTTCTCCCCTTCCCCTCTAAAATCTCCACTTCCCTAACCCTTAAGCAAGGCCTTATGCTCAGGTTACTCCACCGTGTCTTTCTTTATGAGGTTGGTTTTTCATTTCATGGGTTCTGGCAGCATACTGCTGGGCGTAACCCTGCGACAGACTGGCATCCTGACCAACCAGAGTATCAAATCTCGTATGAACTT